CACTATAGGTTTTTACCAATAGAGAAATGCAATAAGCATACAAACCTAACCTAATGCCACCGTCTGATCCATTACTATATTCAAAATATAAATCCCATTCTTGGCATTCGCAGAGAAGAAAGTAAAATCTCCCCACCCCACCAACAACGCAATAGGTCGCATGCTCTTAACAAATCTAACATGAATATTCCTCTTAAATGAATTGGCATACTCGGCCATAAACGGATTCAACATACCAGGCAACACTTTCCAGCTTTTCAACAAATTCAAAAACTTTTGCGTCAACCTATTCACCTCCGCACACATTCCATACCAGATCCTCGTAACTATGACCATAATCACTAGTACACTCCCATCAACAGAAATTATCCGGTATGAAAATTCCCCATGAAACCTGACCAGAACATACGCCCCAACAATTATACATGTCACCATACCACAAATCGTGGCCAGTGTGACCTGTTTTAAGAAACCTTCCAGCACCCGAAATGCGACCTGAGCCCAGTTATATGTACCAATATTTCGTCCTCTCCAGAAACACATTCCGCATCCTGCTGGCATGCACACACACCGAGTAATCCGAGGCGCGACACATCATAGAAACCAATTAGGTTTACCATGTATCGTATGACGAAAAGGAGGAGGTGCGTCTTCATCTTCATCTTGCCAAGAAATGATGGCTGGATGTTAATCAAGTGCCACAAGTGGTAGGCGAGTGGATCTGCCGACATTAACGTGATTACTAGGACGGCAAACGGTGCTTCAAAGTAAAGGAGTCTCGTATAACCTGCCAAAAAGGCGGCAGCGATTCGAACTCTGCTCCCGCTCTTGGCACCAAGGAAGGAGAATCGGAAGATTGATTTCGTTTCTGGTAATTTATTAAATGGTGATCAAACATAGTGGCGAAATTAAAACAAACATTGATCAATAAAATGAATAAGATCAATAAAAGTTGAAGTCATTGAAAATCATCCATTATGTCCGATCTAACATTCCAAAAACAAACACGTACCGATTCAATAATGCCTGCAAGTTTCCCCACTACGTTGAAAATTTCAATCGAAATTTTGTCAGGGTCGAATATGACATAGATGTAGCCTAGAAGAACGTCTCCGGTCGCGCCGAGAACACATATCCAAATCCAAACACGCATATAGTTCATGGCACCTTTCCTATCCTCCGAATATGTGAAAAAAGCCATTATTGCCAAACCAAGTTGTAATACCATAAGTCGGAAATTACGACAGGTGTGAATTTAACGAATCGATTTTGGTTCGGAACTTCCTCGACATACAACTTTCCATTTTCAATGACAAGCTGGTATTGGATCTTATATCTGAAGGGGTACCTCGCCATTAGGAGGAATTGCATGAGACGGGCAACCCCAAGGAAACCGCGGTTCTGTTAGACATTATTCGGATTTAAACTATGCAACAATAGAACGATAAAGATTTGGATTCAGCCGATGGTGAAAATTCATGTATTTACTGTAATTGATATTAACCAGAAATTGGATGAAACTCCTGCAAATTAAACTCGTGGACTAAATTAATTAAAGTTTGATTGTTTTTTGCAATTTTCGGTAAAGGTGGAATTGATTCTTTGATTTGGGCACACACGCCAGGATGTATTTACAGAACAGCGAACTTAAGACGACGCGCAAAATGACTCACATGCTGCACGAACTATTATGTTTTCATGGTTGTCCCGCCTAACTAGGGTAGGTATTACCACGTGCACATTTAGTTTTATTGAAAATCCAGAATTACTATAATATGCTATAGATATGGTGGATTCGTTACAATTTTATTTTGTAACTTCCTGTTAACAATTGCTTGGATAAGTTGATGTATAGGAATTTAAGAATGATTACTACCTACCCTACATAGGACTATTTGGAACCGATCAGTAATAAAGATAGCACTACAACTTCATCCGGTACTAAAATATTGGCATTAGCCCAACCCGCATACGCACACTACGGGAAAAGTACCATTTTTCGTCTTCGGTACAAATCAAGTACCATTTCGGTACCGATTTGCATACATAGGTTAGGTTAGGTTTTATTCAAACAAGATCGATGTGGCGTTAGCCTTTACAATCATACATCATTTAATCATACAATTTCATACATCTATATTATAATTTCGAAAAGTCCGTCCCGTGAAATTTTCCGTGACATTACTGCGTTCTGATTGGCTGCTGGGTTTCTGTATCCGCCAATCAGAGTACGAGTCGATTTTCGAGTAGGATTATGGTTATGGTTATGGTTATGGTTATGGTTATGGTTATGGTTATGATTATTGTTATGATTATTGTTATGGTTATGGTTATGGTTATGGTTATGGTTATGATTATTGTTATGATTATTGTTATGATTATTGTTATGGTTGTGGTTATGGTTATGGTTATGGTTATGGTTATGATTATTGTTATGATTATTGTTATGGTTATGGTTATGGTTATGGTTATGGTTATGGTTATGGTTATGGTTATGATTATTGTTATGATTATGGTTATGGTTATGGTTATGGTTATGGTTATGGTTATGGTTATGGTTATGGTTATGATTATTGTTATGATTATTGTTATGGTTATGGTTATGGTTATGGTTATGGTTATGGTTATGATTATTGTTATGGTTATTGTTATGGTTATGGTTATGGTTATGATTATTGTTATGATTATTGTTATGGTTATGGTTATGGTTATGGTTATGGTTATGGTTATGGTTATGGTTATGATTATTGTTATGATTATGGTTATGGTTATGGTTATGATTATTGTTATGATTATTGTTATGATTATTGTTATGATTATTGTTATGGTTATTGTTATGGTTATGGTTATGGTTATGGTTATGATTATTGTTATGATTATTGTTATGGTTATGGTTATGCTTATTGTTACGGTTATGGTTATGGTTATGATTATTGTTATGGTTATGGTTATGGTTATGGTTATGATTATGATTATGGTCTTGAGCGACGTTAAAAAAATTCCTTAGCAACGTTATAAAAATTCCTTAGAAACGCTAAAAAATTCCTTAGCAACGTTAAAAAAATTCCTTAGCAACGTTCAAAAATTTCCTTAGCAACGTTAAAAAAATTCCTTAGCAACGTTCAAAAAATTCCTTCGCAACGTTCAAAAAATTCCTTAGCAACGTTAAAAAAATTCCTTAGCAACGTTAAAAAAATTCCTTAGCAACGTTAACAAATTCCTTAGCAACGTTCAAAAAATTCCTTAGCAACGTTCAAAAAATTCCTTAGCAACGTTGTCCTTTTATTCGTTCGAGCTTAAGTTGTATTCGCAGAGTTGAGAGAGTACGTATTGTTACATCATTTTTTTAAAAAAGTCTAAACGACGGGCGCCTTACACAAACAATCCCTAACCGAAAATTGCAGAATAATCACAAAAATCGCAGAATAATGACAAAAATCGCAGAATAACGCAAAGTTGAAAAAATTCTATATAAACGTTAAAAAAATTCTTTAGCAACGTTGAAACAAATTCCTTAGCAACGTTGAAACAAATTCTTAGCAACGTTAAAAAAATGCGTTAGCAATATATGATTATAGAGCAAAGTTAGGAAGGATATACTGAGCTATTGTATACTGCAATAATTTCATAGTTTTCAGATGGTGGTTGGCCATTTTCAAATCGGCCCGTCTTTAAGACGGGCTTCTGGGCTAGTACATACATAATACTATAATAATAATAATAATATGCATGGATATCTATGCAGGTATGAGTGAAGCAAAACCCAACATAAGTTGGGGAAAAACTTCACTCGTACCTGCACCTACCCAAGCATGTAAATGACTGGCCAAGATTCATAGGCGATTAAGAGAGGGCCGTGGTTATCACCAAGTTAGGAATGTGGTGACACCGGAAGCAGACGGCTCTGGGGACTGTCCACGCACCATACACGTGTCCCCCATGGAAGTCAACTATGTAGTGACCGGGGCCGAGAGACGTCCCCACTTGCCCCTATCCCCATCACAGCAGAACCAGGTCATGGGACCCCCGTAGGCCCGATTCCGCTGCCCACCTTGATGCACGACCACCGCCCCCACTCTTCAAAACAACCACCCCCTTACCCCCACAAGCCCGATCCATCAACCAAATACATACCTGGGGGAGTCCTCCTTGGGCGTCACGAGACATAGCGTCCGTCGTCTCCAATCTTCGCCTGATGGCTCAACTTGTCGTTGCTGGGACGGTGGGCGGCTGTAGGGGGTGTAGCCAGTGGAGCAGATGGTGGGTGTGAGTGGACTAGGTTCACAGGGCTCGCTGGTACACACTTTACTTGCCCTACAGGCCCCACCGCGACCCAGATGGGAGATGAATCCCTCAGTGGCCGGAGCGAGAAAGGAAGATGACTATGTCTCGCGAGTGCCAAACGAGAACTCGATTTGCATACATAAAAGATACTTATATTCTTCTTGCAGAAACGGTGCTGGTATGGTATCCAAAACGAAAAAATGGTACATTTTTGATACAGTTAAATTGGGAAAACCCGTACCTTTTTGGTATCGATATTTAGTGCCGAATAGGTACCGATGGTGTTGGTCGGGAGGTTTTACATTTGATATACATTTCGGAATATGTAGCGAGTGAAATATCTCCGACATTTTACTACCTCAAAGTTTAAGAAATGCGTCATATATATCATAATCATAATCACATCATTTATGCATTGCAACAATTTATTTGGGTATTGTCAATTTGACTATTGTCAATTTGAAGTACATTTCATTTTATTCAAATTAAAGACTTATTCGAAACTGAATGGAACTGCACTCCAACCAGATGTAATTTTTAAAAAAATTAAAATTGCTCACGGTCAAGAGCACGAGATAAGTTTACATAAACATAGCATTTGAACTACTCTCTTATCGCAAATACAAATCCATTCCTCAATTTAAGCTGTATTTCCTCTAAACTCTTCCCATTGGTTTCCGGCACAAAAATATAAATCAGCACAGCTCCTGCTAAATTTATCCCTGCAAAAAACCAGTAACATCCATGCTTACCAAACAATACAATTAAATACTTAAAGGAAAACAAGACCAGGAAGGCTACTGCTCTATTTACAATTATAATAACGGCAGACGACATCCCTTTATCCTCCGGTGCAATTACCTCCCCTATCACTAAGAAAGGAATTGGACCAATCCCCATGGCAAAGGCGGCTATAAAACCCACCAAACTAATGATGGGAAACCATCCATAATTCTCAACCGAACCGACATATATTTCCTTAAGATACAAGAAACACCCCAAGCCTATGAGACACACTGCCATCAACACTTCTGACCCAATCAGTAGGGGCTTCCTCCCAAATCGGTCGATAAACAGTGACGATATCGCGATCACTATGATTTGCGTCACTCCAACAAGAATCGTCCCAACGTTTCCATTTTGACAACCGGCAGATTCAAAAATTTCGACTGTGTAGAAAATGACGGGTAGTTCGCCACAGGCTTGTAGCAGGGTTTGAAGCATGCCAGCAATCAGGATGGGATGCACAGTTTCCCGCCGACAAAATTTGACTTCATTAACCACCAAAATATCCTTCTTTGCCAAGGTTGCGTCTTCAAGCTGTAACGACAAGTCTAAAGATTTATTAACGTTGTAAATACTTTATTCTTGCTTATTTACCTTTTTCAACTCATTTTTGACAAGTTCCGGTGTTTCCGCCATTCTGAACCACATGAGGGATTTGATTGCTTCCCCTGTCTTCCCATTCTCTACCAAATATTTAGGTGATTCCGGGATGAACATCATTAACAGGAAGAACAAAATCGGGGGAAGGATGCTCAAGCAGGATTGCAACTGGTACGACGTCACAGAACCGATTGTGAACCTGTCAATAAAAATTGTAAATCTTCCTACTGTACACACCTGTGTTGTTTGCTTAAAGTGAAGTCCGTTACATGTATAAAATACCGCACGAGAAATTGAAAAAGTAGGCATAACTCAGCGTCCCACGAATTGAGGGGACTGCAATTTCTGCAACAAACGCAGGCGCCGTGAGGGCAAGTCCTCCCGAACAAAAGCCTATAATACGTTTACAATAACCATTACTAACTTTCCTAATTACTACAAATTTTAATTACCTGTTATAAATCTCCCGAACATAAGCATTTCCAGGTTGTAGGCAAATCCAATCAGGAACCAGCCCACGATCAACGGTATCGTGGGAAAAAGCATGGAGAAACGGAGGCCTTTCTGTCTCGATAGGAGTCCAATAACCGGACACGCCACTGCGGCACCAATCTGGCAGGAAATAATTACTAAATCCTTTTCACCTGGTTTTTAATTGAGCTAGATTTCCTCACAAATATAATTGACGCAATCCAAGATTTATCATTGTCCGATAGGTCTTTAAATCTATGATCCTCCTGTAACAGCGGCATTGCTGTTGAACTCCACGACCAAGCATTTCCAATCGCGAAGGATCCAAGGTTGGCTAAATTAAGGTTCAATTTGGTTAAATATATGTGCATCAAACCCATAGAAAACTTGTTACCTGACAGGGCAGTAAAATACTGGTTTCTTACGCCACCCTTAAAATATCCATTTTTTAAACTGGGATCAATCTTTATATTAACTTCTTCCATGGGGCATCTAATATTGCCCCTTTTCTCAATCAAATTCATTTAAAATTTTACGAGTCTAACTGAAGTCTTAGTTAGAGTAGTCGCTCTTCAAAAAATCTCGCTTTACATGTTAGAATACACCCGGATTAATTGATTTCAACCATTTTATTGCATTATAGTCATAAAAAATAGTAAATGTGGAAAACACAATATAAACTGGCCTACATAATGGCAATACTCAGTGTTCGATAAAAAGCAAAAAAGCAAAAAGTGCTGTAATGCTGAATTGCTTCTCACATGCTTTATTGCTTTTTACTTGGTGCCACCTAACGGCGTGCATTAGAACTACTATGTTATACGTAGCAAAAAAGCAATAAAATATCAATTTCAATAAAGCAAAAAAGCATCTTTGAAGCAAGTTAAAAGCAATAGAGAAAAAATGCAGCTTTTTTTGCTTGGGAGAACACTGGCAATGCTATTCATAGAGTAACCTTCAGTCAAACATATTGCGGATGCTAACGTTTGTGCGGACTAAAGGTATTACAATATCCACTAATAACTTCAGATTCCGCATGTCTTTCCATTGTTAAAATATGTGAATCCCAGTATTGTAACAATTGTTGGTAGAAAATTAGTCTTAAATAATAATAGCGTGATATAATCAGTACAAAAATACCGAGCATGTCGCAGATGGAAATGCAATTTCCTTGTTAACTTTATATAATCGATGCAACATGTCGCATGTATAATTTAATTTAATAAGAGGATTAAATTGATAAATGCAATGTAATTAAATTACTGGGCTAGTACATTTAAATTTTACGAAACACTGATGGCATCATTAAGACAACAAATATTCAGCAAGTTTTCAGTCCCATCGTGTTGGAGGATAACACACGTAACTTGCCAAACACGCATCCAGAACTATTTCCAGTCGGAATAAACATAAAATAATAAATTTCATCAAGGTAAACTTGGTAAATAATTATTTTCGCAAGCATTTATCCACGTGCATGTGGGTATACTTGGGGATCATAAAGAAATGTTAATGGGCTACATTATCCTGAGGTATAGTCGGTTGTACATATACAATGTTTTGTTTTACATATATTTATGTTTCTTGACTGCATTAATGATCTGAGATGAGTCGTCTCACCTCATCTTTTAAAGAAGTATAAATAAAGTCAAATATAAAATTACCAACAAAAATCAACTCCACAATTCGTCCCTAAAGTGTGCATATCAAATGGTAAATCTATTATTTAATAAAATGTGGTTGCATCATTGTTCGGCTCGTCTCCACTCATACTCAGGACATGTGAGACTTTAACATTGTAGGAAAGGTGGGCGAGAGTATTATAGGAGTCATTAAAAAGAAGTCATACCTTAAATAATGTGGGGACATGCTTCCACGGTCACTGCACATTATTCAATCTCACTGTTTGCAATTTCATACATGTCGCTTACTCTCACTGTCGCTTATTCTCAACCAACTATCTCATAATATAATTCTTTTTTATATCAACATTATCATAAGTAGTTTTCAACAGATTTATTACACAAGTAAAACAGAATATTCGCAAAAATTTGGTACTCGTACAATTTAACATCCCAAGTAATGACAACAAAAGAATCCAACATTTGAAATCCCTAACGTTACATTACATTAACGTAAAGGTAAATCGTAACCTAAGGTCGTGAATAGTATGCACGTATCAAAAGTATATATATATACATGTTTATTGCTAACCGATTTGGAGAAAGTTGTGGAAAGTAATTACGGTGGCATTACTGATATATGCAAGGTATAGCTTCCAAATTTTCTTTTGGTAGGTACATACAACTTTTCCTGATACAAGTTAGGTTTTCAGGGCAAGTAAAATAACAAGGGAAATTACATCTTTCCCTGAATATCTCATATATCCGTCAATTCTATATGTTTACCCCCTAACGAAATTTTGTATTGTGACAATACATACAACAAACTAACTTCCTCACTTGTGGTGGTGGTGTGGAAATCTAATAAACTAATCTAATTATGGATTCATGGGCCTGGCATAAATAATCTATTTATTTCTCAAATTTTACACAACACTTTGTAACATGACACTTGGTTAAAGGTTGATGTATGAAATGAAACACATATGAGGAGTGCAGATGACGCCACTTTTAATCTCCCACATTAATTATGTGCGACCCATAATCATGGTCTATACATATTTTCTATGCATCTATTTTCTCAATTGTTTGGCACCTATCTGTGTTACCGACTGTTCGAGAGCACTGGTGCTACTAATTTGATAAAATTTGCACATGGGGCAAATTAATTAGCATCAATTGATGCAAAAAACTCGTGAACAGACAGACAGACGGACAGACAGACGGACAGGAGGAATTCAATAGCTCTCTTGCTACGCAGGGCGAGCTAATAAAGTGGATACAGGATCCAATCGACCGATTGAAATAGCCAGTCGTGGGACTCAAATACGGTGAGACGCTGTTTCTGGGGTTTAAATAGAGGGTAGGACTCGAGCCTTTTTATTTTAAAGCTTGGGACAACAATCAGTACGAACGGAGAGTTTGGAAAGTACTGCCTTAAAATGTGAAAGTCAGGCGAGTATAAAAAATTTCTTTTTCGAAAATATTTCGATGTGACGAGCTCAATGGATTGAAAACCAGAACGCCGAGAGAAATCTCGCCGATCTGATATCTGTTGACGGAAAAAAGGATTTTACATTTTACATTTTTACATTTTACAATGGTGCTGGAGTCGAACCATTGTCCAATCCTTGTCATGGCGGGCAAGGTCTTGGTTGCAAGACTTGAGGGGGGGTAGGCGAAGAAAGCTGAATAAGATACATGAGGAAGTGTATTGGATACAATATTTTTTCAAGAATACAGAATTGACTCCATGATATTGACTATATCAGAAATTCTCGAAAAATTTAGATCGTCTTGTTAGGTGTGACTTCGCTAGTTCGCAATAGAAAGCCTGTCGTGCAAACATGGCGACGCCTTTTAAAATAATTAATGTAAAATATTTTTAGTCGACAAATGTCTTGGTATGACAGGCGAGCCTTACTAATATATTTACGTCCAGTTCTGGATCACCATAAAATTCTTTACATTAACATTGGGTACGTAAGTATAACCTTGTTCGTGACCGAATGCCTTTCGTGTATTAAAACTGAACGGACGCTTTTGTTGTCTATAACTAAAAACGTTTACCTCAAGTAACCAAATTAATATTTTTTAGATAACTTGGTCAGTCAATCATCTAATATTAACAGCAGATGTGTATTATAATTGAGCTTGTCCCTTGTTTGGACTGTACTATGTAGGGGGATCGAAATACTCACATTTCCGAGATAGTCTGATCCGCGGCGGTAGGAAATTTAAGGCTAATTCCCGACATACTCCCTAGTTTAGAAATTTTCGTAAAGCGACGAAATCAGTTGGATTTGAAAAAAATGTCTAATTCTGGCAGGTACCGTATTCTTTGAAATCTTTTATTCACTTGAAAAATATCATTGATCATTTACAAAAATAAGCATTCAAAAGCTGACTACGCAGGAGTCTAACAGAAAAAAACCCTAACCTTAAAAATCGTAGAAAAATCGTAGAAAAATCGTAGAAAAAACCGTAGAAAAAATCATAGAAAGAAAATTTAGAAATAGTAAATCTCCTCCAGCTCTTTTCCTTGGGAGAGGTTCCCAAAATCGACGCCACATTTCCACGTTGTGTTGCTAGGGAAAGTCGTTGGATGAGGAAAGTAGTGGCGTTAGCTTGACCCGTACGGGCACCAATCCTCCGCCCAACTTCGCGCAAAAATGACAATCCCTCTGATGCGAAACCGCCTGACGTCTCCATGGCAACCGGGACAAAAATAAAGCGGTCCATGAGGAAGGCGTATTTCTTCTTCTTGGCGTCTTCCGCCTTATTGGCAGTTGCTCCTTGGTGTATAATAGTGTCGGGGAGGTGGCTGGGGGCGTAGGTGTCTGCGCAGGTATAGGTTAGGGCGTCCATCCGGGCGTTTTCCATCCTGGCGCGAACAACCCGGCGGTTCCTTTATGCCGGGAACCTCTGCAGACCGGAGTGCCCTGACTATGACATCGTTGGCTCTGGCGTTACGGGATGAACGACCTGCACTCCGGCGGCAGGAGAGGCCATGGTAGCCCCGGGCTCTGACCTGTGCCCCGCATGGACAGGTATGGGGCTGACAGATTTCGCTCCCAAGTCGTAGGGCAATTGCGACGCGGAAAGACTCGTCGGGAAGGTGGGTCCCAAGCTGTGGTGATGGGATAGCATGGAGTCACGCCCCCGCTTGCTGGTTCTTTAAGGCACGGAGGCGGGCGGCGTCCTCAACCTCGAGTGAAAGCAAAGAAATGATGGAAGAAATGCGGTCCAAAATGGGCTGGTCCCACACCTGGGCTGGTACCGTATTTATTGTTTCCATGGTGGGGAAAGGATGGAATAATCAAAAATACAGAAAACGAGAATATATTTATGATGTCCTTGTGCCTCGGCAAAATAAAAATATTATGGAAACTTATGGCTTTAGCGAAGCCAATTTCCAGTCGACAGTTCTGATGGCGACGGTTCCTGATAGAATGCTTGTCGTGACGAGTATAGCAGTGGTAATACATTTTAAAGTAATTAAAATAAAAATTCATATTTTTACTCTCCTTTTACTTGTGTTATTGAGTAATCTTATATATTTTTCACATTGCATGTGAGCTGAACCAGGCCAAGTGTACCACAAATGCTGTTTCCATATTTCCAAAGAGAAAGTGAGAAACTCGGATTCTGCTGGCCATCCACCACCATCGTGTGGCAGGGCCGGATGAGAATCGTCTGATTTTATTTCTCACTCTCTGCAAAAATTTCATCTCACCAACCAACATCTCGTTTAATTATATGTGTAATGCATTCATATGCAACATATATAAATAATTTGATGTTGGTCGCATATTTTGGATTTGTTCACCGGGATTTTGAACTAACTCGTGTGAGATGTTCTGATCTCTCACACGAGGTAGTTCATTTTTCAAACTTCTCCAGTTTTTTAATAAAAAATTAAAAAAGTGCGAGTTGTTTGCATAAAAAATATACAAAAGTGCAGCATGGAGTGTCACTCCTCCCACTCGGAGCAGCCGCCTGTGCCACCACCCCCAATTTCGCCCCTGCCACCACCACCCACAATTTCGACCGCGCCGTCATCATCATCAGGTCCACCACCATCGCCTCCAATTTCGACCCTCCCGTCGCCATCACCATCACCACCACTGGATATCACCACACCCACCGCAGAAGAAAATCCAGGTAGGTATTTTTTTGTTATAGTTGGGAGGGTGGGTATGGGTGGGAATTCGGGGCAATTCTACGCGGTGGAGATGATTTTGCATTGGTCATCTCCGTTCCTGGTACCACTCCCCCCACCGAGTTGGGTGGGGGGACCTCGCTGCCAGTATGTTCCTCTATAAAAAAGAGGTGGTACCAGAAGAGAGGGGCATGCTGGCTAATTTTGGTTTCTTAGCCACATTTTAACCATTTTGGTTGTTTTTGCAGAAAATGCAGGAACAACACCGGACGTGACAGGTATGTAATTTTTGAATTGTTTTAAATGTAAAAAATAGTAAAAATTATTGAAATTTAAAATAGTTTAAAATTGGTACAAAATAAAATTGATTTGTAAAATTGGTAAGATTTATATAAAATTTGGTAAAAAATCACAGCTTGGCTAATTATTAAAATTAATGAAAATTATGTAAAATTTGGTAAAAAAAAGTCAGAGCGTGGATATTTATTATAATTAAAAAAGTATATAAATTTTGGTCAAAAAATCAGAGTGTGGTTATATATTTAAATTAAAGAAAATCATAAAATTCGGTAAACATCACTGGTTATTTATTTAGATTTATGAACGTCATAAAATTCGAAAAAAGATAAAGAGCCTGGTTAATTATTAAAATTACCGAGAATTTAAAAATTTAAAAACAATTAAGTGGTGTGTTGGTTATTTGAATTGATAAAGATTTTTAAGATTAAAATAAATAGTCAGAATTTAAATTGGTAAAGTACTAACAAGTTTTAAGAGGGTCGAATCTTATTTTATAGTACGTCTCTGCGATATTGGACGCTTGATTGCTAACCATGGCTGGAATTGTTCTGAAGACGAATTTCGGCCTCCAATCTTCGACAAGAACGTGCAATGCAAGATTGTGCAGTCCATCAGGCAGACATTTCCAGGTTACACTTTAAAACTTGTTTTTAGTGACAATTTTTTCTGTACAAAATGTACTGAGTTTTTTGGACGGCGAAGACATGCTGTACAATGTTGTCATCCAAAGCATAATGCAAAGTATAATGGTAAGCGTGTAAAGTATATTACGGCAGAAGAATACTTCACCCAATATAAGGTCGTGGGATTACTACCAAATCAACCAGTATGCAAGGATGCGAAATTCTGCTATGATGATACTGAAGAAATTCAAGATCGAGAGTGTCAAGATCCCACGTTTGAAGAACCCGCTACAAAGAAGAGATTAGTCGAAACTTTAAGCAATATCAAGCAGGCAATTTCCCCTACAGCCCCTCCAATAACATTCAACAGAAGAAATCTCAAGCAACAAGGGAACCTAGTCACAAGAGAAATTAAGCAAGTAATGAAGACAATCACCACTGAATTCCAAGAAGTCGGATTACCAATTCAAGAAGAAGACCAAAAACAACTTGCCCAGGATTCAAAAGATCTAAGCCGGATCATGGAGAACTTGAAGTTGAGGTTGGTAGGATGCTCTCAAGCAGAAAGAAAACAACTTCTCACCTTAGTCCCACCGTCTTGGAGTATCAAAAAAACTCAAGAATTCTTCAATGTTGGAACACGCATGGTCCAGGGGAGCCGGAAACGTCGAAAGGAAACTGGTACCATTCTTCCTCCAGTAAAACCAAAATGCGGATTCAAAATTTCAGAAGAAACAAAATCCAAAATTCAAGATTTCTACTATCAAGATGATGTTTCAAGAGCCTGCCCAGGACAAACGGACTACTTATCCGTCAAGAACAAGGAAACAGGAAAACGAGAACGTAAGCAGAAACGGTATCTTCTTAGCAATCTGCGGGAGCTATACGCAAATTTCAAAACCCAACACCCGGATTCAAAAGTCGGAAAATCATCATTCATGATTCTGCGGCCACCAGAGTGTATCTCTCTAACCAGCAAGGGATACCACAACGTTTGCGTGTGCATTCATCATGAAAATGTCAAACTTTTATTCTACGCCATAAAAATTTCTTCCATCAAGCCTTTAATTTCACAATTAGTTTGTGAGAATGGAGGCAAGAATTGCTGCTACAGGAGATGTGGGGAGTGCAAAGGATCGACAGAAAATTTGAAGTCAACTTTAAGAGAAAATGAAGTTATCAAGAACAACGAGTCAATTTCGTACAGAAGATGGCTGAGCACCGATGGAACTCAGTATGTGACTGAAGAAAAAGAAACCGAAGACTTCGTGGAATTTGCAACCTCGGAATTGGAGAAGTTGCTGAAGCATCACTACATCAGCAAAGCTCAGCATGAATTTCTTGTCAATCTTCGAAAGAATCTCAAACCTGGTGAGATCTTCATCTGGGGCGACTTTTCAGAAAACTACTCACCTGTGATCCAGAATGCTGTCCAGTCCGAATATTTTTCCCACAAGCAAATCACCATTCACCCCTTCACTATCTACTGGGCCGTGGATGGAGTAGTGTACAACGCCAGCATATCTATCATCAGTGATTGTACGACCCATGATACCAACTCATTCTACGCGTTCCAAACCATCCTCATACCAAGACTCGTCCGTGATTTTGCTCAAGCCAAAATCAGTATTTCCAAGATCTACTACGCTTCGGATGGATGTGCAGCCCAATACAAGAATAGGAAAAATTTCTGCAATTTGTACCATCATCAGAATGACTTTGGGATCATTGCAGTATGGATCTTTGGGGCAACTGCGCATATGAAGGGACCTCCAGATGCCCAAGGAGGACTTGCCAAACGTGAAGCAACAACTGCATCCCTTCAAGGTGCCATAATCACAACAGCCGAACAATTCTTCGAGTGGTGCCGTTCACATATCAAAGGAGTGGAATATTTGTTCATCTCGGAAATCGAAATTCAGAAGATTATTGAAGAAAAGGACTTGATGACCCGGTATCAGACAATCACAACGATTCCAGGAACTCAACAGGCTCATCACGTTGAAATTGAATCGGGAAAAATTCATCTTTACGAAGTTTCCGGGGACACAACGGTCATGGCAACGAAAATAATGGAATCCGAAGTTCAGCCTCCGCCTGTCGTCATCATCGATGAATGCTCCGTCAGCGATTGGATTGGATGTGTCTACGAGAACCAGTGGTACATCGCCGTTATTGATGAAGTGGACCTCGTGGAAGAAGAAGTGATGGTGGCATTCTGGAAACCGAACACCTCAAAAGCAAAATCTGGGACTTCATATATTTCGGAAAATAAGTCGTGTTACATCAAAAGTTGTCAAATCCTCAAGAAGGTCTTCCCATCAAGAGCATCAAGAGGTGGAAGGACGATCTACATCCCCCTGGAGGACCAAGAAGAAATAGGCAGACTTTTTGAACAATTTCAGCGAGGAAATGTATAAATTTGTAAATAGTGTATGTATGTAGATAGTAGGTTAGTTGTATAGGCTAGTTCTTTATATTTATTCGGTTCTAGTTTTAAGAAGTGATACCTCCTAGTCTCAAGAAAGAAGAAGGAAGTGGTGGCGAAGATGGACTTCAAATGGTGGTATAGGTGGCTGTTCCCCTTGGATATTTTTTAATAAATAAATTTATTAAATCATATCATTAAATACTCTTATAAATCTGTTGTAAAATAACTTTATAAAAGTATTTAATTCTTTCCGTTCTTCGAAAATCAAATCTTTTGGTAATTTAGTCATGATCGCAGATCGCAAAATATAATATAACTTGGCTTTCTATGACTTATTTTTAATTGGTAAGAATGTTAATTTGATCAT